TGTAAATGCTAAAATATAAGGAGGTATTTATTTATATGAGGTTTTATATATTTTCAGAAATAAGTGCCCTGTAATTAATTAAGATTTATTGTTTAACTCCTGCGTCCCTTTCTTTACCTTGAAAAACTAGCTTTTATAAGAATATTCTTCTTTCAGTTGATATACTACGTTAGTCCAGGCTGACAGAGTGATTAAACAAATCTATTTATTTAACACGTGTTGCGGTAGGTCTCTTTTCGACTTTTTTCTTCCAAATGCTCCCTAATGGAAGGCTACTTCCATTGCATTTGTCTTACTCCGTCTATTTACATAAAACAAAACTTCAAAGGATGACTAGATTTGAAATAATGATCTGTACATAGGTTTTCTGTGTACTGCCGGGAATGTCGAGTATTTTTAGACAAGGTTAGCTATAGTTGTGTACCAGGCACGAAGTTATGTTTTCATTGTAGAAGAAAATGCATTTTCCTGTAAACAACCTCATCGGAAGCAAAGATAAAATTTTAAATGTCGACAATTCATACTATTGCATTTTTTGTGGAATCAGGAAGGAAAAATATTTTCAGTTTGTGTAATTTTATTGTTTTTTAATTTCCATGCGACATTAAAACAGTAAAGGAAAAGTGGAGGAAGATTGCAGTTTTTGCAATTACGCAATTTGAGAAAAGAGTTTGAAAGATTTTGAAAGAGAGAAAAAAAGATTCTGGTTGCATAACTGAAATAAAATACATAAACGAATCAAAAGGATGAAATTGCTTTATTCAATCACATTATGATACAAAATAAACAAAAATTTGCAAGATATTTTAGAACCTAACATCAATGTTATAGAAAGCAAAATTTAAAAAAAAAAACATGTTAGAAAGGACAAAACAATTTAAATTATATAGATATTCATTGGATTAGATCTAGAAAATAAGCTACCACTTGTAGTTGAAAATCATTATTACAGAGATAGCAATGATCACTAAAATTGTCAAATCCTAACAATAAACGACATTTCTGTAGCTTAAGTAATTTTCCTCTCACTGGAATAAGCAAGTAAAATACAGCCACCATTTATGATTACATTGCAAAAATTGACAAAAAAAAAATATTTGCTTATATCTGCTGAAAAAAATAGAATTGATTATAAATGAAAACAAATATAAAAGTCACAGGAATGTCATTATTTGTTCAATCTCCAATTTCCAGAATTCTAAAACATATTTTGCCTAAGAAACACGCAGTATGAGCAGCCTAATCAAATGTTCTTACAAGAAGCACGTTGGAGATACATGCATTCTACATTTAAACATTTTGATAGGCCGACACTAGACGTTTCAATAGACCAAAAGTCCAACAATTTGATGAAAATACTTTCATCATTAAGAAAATCAAAAAAAAAAAAAAAAAAAAAAAAATGATAATTTACATTTTCTTGTGGACTTTTGTAAATGCAATATACAAAAATCAAATAAGATAAAACATTTAAACTAGATGTCATTTTATAAACAATAAAAAACAAATTACAATTATTTCTTATACAATAAATGGTTATGTTTACTCGCTTATAACTTGAATTGAATCAAACATAGAATGAATGATTAATTTCTGCTCGCACATTTTTTCTAATATTGAATAATATACAGCTGTATATATATAAATTATCATGCATATCAAACTCAATAAAAATACATACAAATACATTTATGAAATATATTTTGATTCAAAATCAATGAAAAATATATGAAGTATACATAAAAACAGTTACAGAAAAAGGCCATAAGGGGGTTAAATTTTTAAATAACATTAAATGATAGTTTTTTAAATTCTATTTTAAACAATTTTCAAAGATTTATAACTGCAATGGAAATAGATATCTATGGTCATTAGATATTTAGTTATCGACTCTAATTTTAATAGGAAAGTTCCGATGAAAAGAAAATAATGAACAACAATTTTTAAAGTGATATTTTTTAACTACAATTTTACAATTGATTGTTTATTGTTTGCTTAATTTTAATCATTGGAACCATATAATTTTGACCTTTACTCGGCACTCAGGGCCATTGAGCAGTGAGGGATCTTTATCGTGCCAATTTAGATAAACATTTTTAAACATAACATTTCACTACTAAAAATGTTGAATGTTCTAAAAATCAGAAAAGCAAATATGGCATAAATGAAATATCCTTCTTGTTTAACTAAATAGTTTAATATTGTTTTGTCCTTTAGAGTTCAGTTCTTACAACAAAGAGAAGGCAACAACAAATAAAAAAAATCTCTTTGAAAAACCGTATTATACACTATTACAGCAATTATGGAGGTTACTGCATTCATTACGACATGCATTAAAACCACACTTTCAGATTTCACATGTAAGGTACCCCGGAGTCAAATGTGTACTTTCAACACCAATTCACATTTTCGAAAAAAGGGCTCATTTTGTCAAACCTTTGTTATCTTTGTTCCGTATGGGAAAATTTTTGTTAATTTTACATTGAATCGGAAGGTATGAATACTTCTTTCATCACCACGGTTACAGAATCTATTTCACACATCGGTAAAATAAATCCCCTAGAGTCATTTTTCATGTTTGATAAATACTTTGTAAATAAATGAAAACGTTTTGTTTTAACTGTTAATTTACGAACAAAAACAAACCCATAAAAGAAGTCGATCGGTAATACACTGTACAAATAGATTGAAGCTTTTGAAGTCTCCTTGACGATGAATATTTCTCGGAGGCATTTGATTATGATGTTGTTATCGGAGGAAACCTGTCCAGAAGTTTTAATATTATTGTAGGATCTAATAACTATAGTTTTATGCCAAAGTTAATGAATCGGTCCGCGAACTGGAGTTAGTACGCCAGCAATGGTTGCTATAAGCCGCCACGTGTTCCTTGATTTGATAGTTTCTCATTCTTCTTAGAAATTACAAAACGTACAGGAGTTATCAAATATCGCATCTTCCAATCTACTGAAGATGACTGGTTTTGTGTTCATATTCTGCACGACATGTTTTTTTTCATTGCGTTTTGAAATAACTACCTCTCTTACCTTGATTTAACGCTATTCAGGAACATATTCTTCAAGTTTCAAATCAATCGTTAATATTGTTTTTTAAGAATTCGAATGTAATATATTGCATGCACTTTCTACCTTAAAAAAGTAAAATTTTCAAAAGTTTGTTCAATATTTCATCCTTTTTATCCTTTTGCGGTAACACAAAATCCTAAAGATTACAGTATAATCAAGTTGTACTTTAAACAAATTAAGGAAGAACTATCATATTTTAACAACAGAATGATACATATTTTATCATTTCAATACAGATTTTTAAAAATTAAAAAATAAAACATTGAACATGAATTCTTGGTTATTAGAACAAAAACAATGTTAGATATATCTTAAAGATGTCAAAGTGAAATACATGGAGATATAAATAAGCTTTTCTTTTGGTAGATTCGTTTTATCTTGATAAGAATAACGACGAGTATTGATATTATCAAATGATCGTTCCAGCAGAGATAACAAATTAACAATATATCACACAAAATCGCGAGTGGTCAGCATTACTGTTATATGGACCCCACTAGAACAAATTACTGGTCGATTTATATAACTACCACTGAGAGCCGTCAAGTGGCAATCTACCGCCTTCAGGGGGAGATAACCCCAGAGTAGTGGCATCTGACAAGGTAACCAACTGCGCAGGTGCGGAGAAGTTAAGTGGATTAAATGTTATCTCGGGGTATACGAAAAGTATGTGGTTTGACCACTCTTCCGAATACATTCACAATGAATTTGTGTTTCTAATTTTTTTCAAAAATATAATACATTAATTATAGGTATTAAGTTACTTCTAGATTTTTAACATGTACAACAAACATGGTCAATATTAAATATGTCAAATAAAACAATCAAAATTGTACATTTACCTACCTGCTCTTCATAAACCAGTACAAAGGAATTCATACAAAATCAGCAAACTGCATCTCATTTTGCCTGGAATACGCTGAACTAAAATCTGAAAAAAAGAAATGCAATCAGAAAATTAAAAAAGCCTATGAATTTGAAAAAAATCATTGAACAATATTACAAGATTTTAAAAACTTAATCCTTTTACTTTTCTTTCAATCGTGTTCTGCATCTGATGGCGCCAAAAATAATGTTCTCTAAACAGAAGAAAAACAACAAATTATTATAAAAAAGAATTAAACGTAAAATAACAACAATAATTCATGCTACAAATTTTTAGACATTGAAATGATAATGAGAATAATTCGAACTGAATAAAAGCAAAATTTGCTTAAAACTTAAAAGTTTTAAAATTCTGAGATCTTTAGAGAAGGAAATTGTCTTTGTCAAAAAGTGATATTAGAAACAACAAGCATTAACTTGAATCATTTATAATAAGTATGTAAAAACAATGTGGGTTATAGTAAAAACGTAATAAATGACTACATAGACGACTTTATTGACATCTATTTAATAACAAATAATGCTATTTCATAAGGGGAATGGCGTACATTGACATTTATAAAGATAAATTTGCAAACGAATCGTTTAAATCTCAGGTCCCAAAAATCACTGACATTGTAGTCACTTAATTACCTTACATGAACTGTAACATCAAAGAAGGATTAAATATTTTTGATCGTTTAATTATTTCTATCGTACCAATTACTCTTGTAGCAAACTAACCTCTGGACATTTCTCTTATAACGAGATTCCCGTCGACTGCTGCAGCATGTAGCCTTATCGTGATTATCGGGTATTTTCGAAAAAAGCAGAAACCAAATGACACGAGTTCCGTTACAATGGCGTATCTTGTCCGGAAGGTAACTTTGAAATACTATAAATTGCTGTTGATTGTGGCGTAATAACACATGTTATTCATCAGAAAAATAAAATCACTGCAGAGAGAAAAGGTGAAAATATAAATGTTATCCAATTATTTTTACCTATTCATTGAACTTTCTTCACTAAGGAGATATTTTTTGATGATTCATACAGTTTTGATTCTTTTTATTTTGTCTTACAACTTTCAATAATTTTATCTACGATCTTCACAATCCAAATAGAGATTTTATTGTGTTACGCTCTTACTAAATTGACAATAATTGAAATTAATGAATATCTTTGAGACCGTCTGTGATCATAAAACTGTAAAACCATTACTTTTCTCACCCGAGCTGTCGACTAAAACAGTTTACATGTCAAAAGAAATGACCTTATTAATAATGTCAACTTAATTGGCGTAGCTTTTTACACCGAATCTTTTATGCCTTGCTAATGCATCTGACAGGAGATTCATTTTTTGCCCAAGGTCAAAAAAGACAAGAAAGACTCCAAAGCCAGAAATCCGCTTCCGTCCACCATATTAGTCTAAGGTTAAACAAGGCAGTTTCTCTGATTCTCTGGGCAGTTGTCCACCTTTTTTCCCTCCACGACCAAAGATCTTTCTGTTGGACGACATTATGCTGTAGCTGTTATTAAAATTGACATTGCATGGCTTCAAAACGAGATTGCATGATATCAATGGAACAAAAAATTACAATATGAAATATATTATTCGATTGTGCGTTATCTATAGTACTTTTTCTCATTTGAAAATCACATGAGATATCAAAATATTGCGTAATAGGATGATAAATATATATATAAACCTAATAATTTGGCATAGACTCCCATGACAAATGAGTGTGCTTCATAATTTGCTTGATTAAATAACAGTCTGCATTGCAGACATATGAAAACTATTGATCAACCTAAAATAAACTTAAAAAGAGCGTAACCTTTGATAATCAAGATGTGAACCTTGTCAATAAGTAGGGTTGGTCTGACAGGCTGTAAGCTGGTTCCTTTCTATAACTAAGGCTGGGGTATAAAAATATTATGTAAATTACTGGTGATAAAATCAAACAAAAACATCAAATCTAGGAAGAATCCGACAATCCGTTCCAAGCATGATACACAATATCGAAAATGCCTATTGACAACTAGCGTTAAAAAATAGACCATTATGCAATATAAGCAAAAACGCAGACTCTTCCAATTTAATGAAATCTCTGATGAAATATATACTGGTATTTAGCTTTTGACTATATTATATTGTGACTTTCATATACAAAGGTTTGAAGAATAGAGTATTTTGTGTACGTTTTCAAAACAATATTTCTAAAATCATTTAAGAGCTTTGTTCTTTTATAGTGAGTTTCAGCCAGTCTATTTTCAAGTTTTCTTTTCTAAATTCAACTAATTAATGATTCAAATTGTAAACATGAAGGAAATGTCTGTCCTAATTTAACGAAACGGTTTGATTTTTTTCTATTAAAATTTGTTTATTATTTTCAAATGCAGGTCGCATATGCGTGAATGATCAAAGTTTCAAAACTTTTCAAATTGACAAATCGTACGGAAAACTTTAAGTCGATGCGGTGTGAAACATTCAAATTCTCTGCTAACGACCTTTCAAATTTTAAAAACTCTAGGTGTCTTTAATGACTTTAAGACTAAGTATCAGAATCCTACCCCACTCGACTCGGATTAGAGAAATAAAATTTTGCAAAGACTGTCCCCTGAAGGGACATGGGCCACTGTTAAAATGATCTTAAAACAACTTGACGAGGTGAAGATTAAGAATTTTACTTTGGATATAATGGGTCAATTACAGTTAAACTTTCATTGATTTTTGCATTTCAGCACTGCTTACATACTTTAACAAATATATGCTTAAGCCGATTAGGTAAAAGTCTGGTATTCGGTGATCTACATTACGCGTATTTGTAAACTTGGGTATATTAGGAATAGGAGAGGGACAAATTAATAAAAGTTAAGAACCTACAACCAATTAAACTTAATAAGATTACACATGTTAAAAGGTAAATAAAGTCTTGGAATGTTAAATAGCGCGCCAATATATTGAAATGACTACCAATGTATTGGCCAGGGCACGTAATGAAAAAAAAACTGTTAGAAAAAATAGTTATACTTTATTTATTGCGCTGCTTCCATTTTGGGTACTATGCAATGGATGCATTTTCTCTATTGCTCGACACATCACTTTGCATTCTAATTTCTGGGAGCTAGAGTTCTTTAAAAACGAATCAATCTTCAGAAATAATTGAAGCGGGTCTTTTTCAGGACAAGAACTCTCACAAGAGAATAAACCTCACTCACCAAAAGCTAAACCATCTCACAACAGATTCTTAAACATGAAAAACTATAGTTTTTTCGCCTTTTATGCCCAGAAGGTCTGGATATAATTGCTCAGACATGGCGTTCTAACAATGAGCAGAGAGGGAAGGTTTGGCTCCGAAATCAATCCCATTCTTAATTAAAGCAAAACCTAAAAAACTATATAATTGGGAGAATCACCCAGACCCCTTGTTTAGTCGTGGCAAACTCAAGGAAGACGAAGCTTCTTGGTTCTTTAACAACTGATCCTGGCCACAAAGCACCCCACACTTCCCTCAAGACACGTCTTTTTCTATTTTGAAATATTCTAATTAAAGAACCATTTTATCCAAAGCTCTAAACTCTATCGAAGAACAAAATGATACCTTAATTAAGTGTATATCCATATGATTTTAATTTTTCTGGTTTCTTATTACAAAAATATCCCTGTAAATAAATATGATTTCTTTCGCCAAATTATAAGAAAAATCCTCCAAGATATGTTCCTTAAATGTTAAATATTAAAGATAGATTAATAACAAACTAAAATCCAGAGAACCGGATTTTTAAAATTTAAAATTAAAAACTATTCTACATTAAGAAGAAAAATGCAATATTTGAAAGTGAACCTTTTCCTTTAAAACGAGAAAGGTAAACCAAAAACTTGCACCTCGAATAGAGAAAGAACTTATCTAGAAATAGGGCGATTGTCATTGATGTCTTTTTTATATTCGATATATCATAGTTTTTAAAGCTTAATTTGACATTTTTAGATTATACCCATATGTAGCGTCATAAATCATAATATTGAAAACAGAAATTATTTAAACATTGTACCTAGATTTCTGCATCCCGAGGCAGATTTTCGCTGGCTTTTTCCGGAACTATTTTTCACAGCTTCTATTCAGTGTGTAAAAGCTCAGCAAAGATGGTGGTTCCAAGGTTTATAGCAGTGCAAACTCTGCAAAAATAAGTCGTTTAAAGAAATTAAGTCTTTAGTTGATTACAGGAAGTGGGAGAAGAATCCTGGGACAAAAAGGAAATGAATTTTAAACCCAAAATTTTCTGGATGGAATTTATTTCATTAGAAGGATAAACTGACATTTAAGAGCACTGTTTAGTCTTTATAACGGGATGAATTCGCTCAGTGGTAGGAAAAGTGCAGCATAATAAAAAGTCACGCCATGCGTAGGTTAATATGCAATATGAAAAAATATTCCCGTCCTTAATATAAAATTTAGAAAATATTGTTTTATTTCATTAATAATGTGACCAAAATACTTAAGATTTCCATTTAGAATAGCCCACTTGGTGCACAAAAATAAATTCTTAAAATTATTTTTTCAATGAATTACACGAAAACAAAATATGTTTTTAAACGATAAAACTCAATTATAACAACAAAACCATTCAATTTAGCGACACCATTTACTTGTTCTTGATAGAGTACAAAATTTGAAAAGTATCCCGAAGATATTTCCTAAAACAGAAATATGTTACACGTATTGAAGAACAAAGTAAAGTCAAGAGTCCTCCAAGGTAATAGTGCTTGATTTTAATTTGCAATCTGATACAAGTTTGTGATCACGGTTTCTATATATAATATTTTTGCTCGCAGATATTAGATGATTCATTAAATAGTGTGCACGTTATTTTCTACAGCCGAATGCTGAATGGGTCAAAGAGAGAAATAAGAACTATTTTCCATTTTTTGAAAATTAATACGTTTCGGACACTTTCAAGGAGTAAAAATGTTTAAGCGGGAAAATTCTTGATTTTCTGAATACAGTAAGTACAAGTTAAACCATAGGTATACTGTACTTTAAAGGGTGATGTTTTGATTAAAAAAAAACAAAAAACAAATGTATTCCAAGGATCAATAAAAATGTATCGTTTTAAAAAAAGAACGTTGGCTTATCATTGAAACAATGACGTCTTTATTAGTATTAAGCATGCAAGCATAAGAGTTATTTTTATATGACTTACATGAATAAGATGCTCAAAGAAATTTATAGAAAGAAAAAATATGTAAATGTTGAAGTTGAAAAACTACAAAATTACTAGACGTCAGCTTCCTTTATACTTTGAAATAAAAGAAACTAACAATTTTTTAATTTGAGTAGAAAAAAGAGCAATCTGTTACCTTGACAATTAATCAACAGTCTATGTTAATGATGGAGACATTTTGAGAATAAGAGACATTTAATCAATTTAAAAAACAATCTGTATACCATTGCTCTTGATCATTCTAATTCTCTTTTTAGATTTACATGAAATAAAAAATAACATGGCAATAAAGGTAATATTTTTTACAATTTTTTTTTCTATAATGAAAAAAAAATGACATGCTTTAGTCTACAATTTTTAAAATTTGAATTGAATTGAAAGCTTGTGTAAAATATTTTTTCTTAAATAATAATTTAGTATCGAACTTTTTAGAAGCTTGTATCTTATTTTTTTTATCCCTATATTTCTCACATTATTGTTAAAGTTTAAATATTAAAAATATGAAAAAATGAAGAAAAAAGCATTGTTTGTACAATTTTTTTTGGTTGATACATGTGTATTTCAAAAGATTTGTTCATGCAATCAAGGTTTCATTATTGTTGTATTCAATAACTACCAGTAGCTGTTGACAATTTTTCGTATGATTTGATAATTTCAATTAAGTAAGTGAGTTATGCACTAAAAATGAATAAGAAATAATCCTTATCTCACGGGATATTTTACAATCAATTAACAAATAAAAACTATTAGAGATAGGTTTATTTCGCATCAGTAACAGTATTTCTAAGAAGCCTAACCTAACGTGAAAGAAATAAGTACCTTATAGTTTATCAAAGGTCTTTAAAGGTTCAGATGAATGAATCACTGTTTAGATACTTTCAAATCATTGCCATTCTATATACTTTTGGATTGTATTTTTAATGACAAAGTGTAAACCTTATATTTGCATTTTTGTAAAATGTTACTGGGGTGTTTTAATCGTTTCCGTTTGATAATGATTGCTGTATTGTAGATATATTATAGCTGTTTTGTAGATATATCAAGCATTACCTGAACCAGGTAAATCTACCACACCTGGCCCCAGGGTGTCATCAGTGAATGGCTTTCCATCAACCATATGAGTGTACCTACACATCTCATCCAAACCCAGCGGCAAGTAGAATCTGGTCCCTGAAATGACTAAAACAATCATCAAAATGTTCTCCGCAATCATCACAACAACGATATTGTGACAGAATTCCTGAGGGTAGAGGCTTGATAAGGATTTATGGGGCCCGGCTCGGCGGCCGTGCGCGGAGTGGAGGGCCCACCTGAGATAGTCCTATCTTACCGTGCAGGTTCTGGAATCTCATCATCTAATGATTCCTGTCCATATCATTGTCTATGGCGCTGTAATATAACTTAAGAACCATTAAAGCTAAGACCAGACTGCAGATCTCTGTCAAAGACACTTTCATGTTAAACCAAGTAGAAAGATAGAAATGAAAATTTATATGAATCATTTTACTTTATTTTATCTATAAATGGTAATCTTAATTGGATAATGTTACATATGAGATAAAATATTTTATTCAGTGAAACATAAGAAAGTAGAACTGGCCTGAGTTTTGTCTTGGAGTGTTGCGGCGGCTTCAGCTGGGCTGATGGGCATCGATGAAGAATATTGCAACCAATACTCCCAAGCTCTCCAATTCCTGTCTTTTGAAGAAAAATAACAACTGAAAGCATTTCATCACACATCTGATCATTGACAGTGTTTAATTTTCAAATACATACAAAGATATATATAAAAAAGAATTGAAGAAAGTATTCCCTTTTGAAGATGTTCAGTTACGTTGAATGAAGAATAACAGATCTCGATTATTATACATAAAGATAAGTTGTTGTTTTTTAATTTTAAAAGATATTTATATTTCTGATTTGAAAACATCTCTGACATTGCGACATTGTGACTTAAAAAAAAACTAAATATTGAAAAAAAATTCATTTACATTCCACAATAAAAAATATTCAAAACCACAGTAAACATATTTTAATTTTAAAAACTATGCTGATAAACTGCTGCAACATAATTCACAAAAATAGAAAAAGGTAATAGAACTTAAAATGTAAGAAAAAATATTTTACTTGCCTATAATTTTAAATAAAATACGGTTTAAATCAAAATGATTCGTTCAACTTCTACCATCTATTCAGCTTAAAACGAGAGAGAAAAAAAGAAAAGAATCTTGGAATTGCATTGTGGTGAGATAAGATAAGATATGTCTTGAAATAGAAAAATTCTAGTATAGGTGTAAAATATCTTTCAGTAAAATCCATGTATTTTTATTTTTAGGATTTTCTAGCTTTCATTATATTCTAGTCGTTTTTGAATATTTTGAAATTTAATATCCCTACTTATTCCATTCTTTTTTACAAATGAAATGATGTATAAATTAATTTAAATTCAAATATCGCATTTTTATATTACTTTTTTCCGCGGGGTATTAATTTACGCTAACGCGGTTAATTTTAACAAGCGTACTTAATATAAATGTAAGGCAAATAGTGACAGTCTAAGAAATCCGCGCAATTTTCTACCCGCGGATTAATTAGAAATTGAGATTCCGCGGAATTATGACCACGTGGAAAAAAGTACGTGTACAGTATTATTTTTTGTATCAATAATTAACACTCGTAATATGTACACTACAGTAGAGATGTCGTTTTAATCACGTTTTCTATGAAGATCTTCAAATAATTTCAAATCAAAAGGGGAAAAAACTTTATTAAAAATCTTGCATCAACCGAATTTTAATTTTTCTGAGAATTAAGGTTTCCATTCATGCGCAAACAACAAAGAATTAAAACAAATCACAGTGACGAATTAATAGCGTTTGATAACTTGAATTTTACGGTTTTTGATTGATCAAGTGTCATTTTCAACTGTTGTTTCAATATTTGTATTTAGGTCTCGACTTATTTTAATGATTTTCCATCAGATATAATGTTCTTATTATAATAAAGTTAACTCCAGGGGGACTTGGCTCAACATGTGGCTCGAGAAATGATTTGAAAACAAGGTGTTGTTGACAGGGTAAAAAAGGATTCAATATTTCCAAAGATTTGATGATTGTCTTGTGTTTTTAGATTTGTTATTTAAAGTTACGAAAATAAAAGTACTTTTAATTGAGGTTGTTCTTCAAAATTTTTTTTTAAAAAGTGCTCATAACGACAAGTTACATTAGGCTAAATGATGTCTTCCCAAATTTTTTACCAAAATAGAAAGTTTGGTGTTATGAGCATTTTAGTCACAACACCAACACATATTTAATAAAAACAATTGTGAGAAGACAAAAAATAAGTACTTAAATACAAAATTTACAATTTCTAAGATATTCAAGGAATACTTCCAGTACTTCAAAGTAAAACTACTTTAGATATAAATTACATTGATAAATTTAAAATGGTAGACAAAGAGATGAATAAGAAATATCAGTGACTCATACGAAATGAACATCAAGTCACGGTAAATAAAGGTCACTTTATATACCCTATTATACTTATAAAAGTGTTTCAGTCTTGAAGCATTAGAAAATTGAAAATGAAATGTAAATTTCTTGGGTTATGCAAGAGAAAAATATTAACAGTAGGCTAGGTACGATTTTTATGAATCTGTAATTGTTTTACATCCTTAAAAAGACTTTCCTAAACTGACATTTATTGTCAGTTGTTTAGATAATCTGTCTAGAATTCAAAAGCAATAATTATCCATTATTTCGTCACTAAACGGATTTTCTACCTTTCTAAAAGTTACATTTGCATTTAATTTGCAGAATTGATAACTACATTTTAAATGTGCTGTCTTTAACATGAAAGCATTCCCTTTTCGCTCTAGGCAGGGCGTTGTGGTGACAATTTTTACCGAACACTCTCCATCAGATAAGACGGTGAGTGTTGAGGATGAAAGACCGTCAAGTTTACGCTTCCTTCTACGGAAATTCAAAATGTTCATAATTAAGCATAAATTTTGTCTGTTAAAGTAAAAAGTTTAGAATTAATAGATAATCATCTAAATGATATTTTACTGGAAAAGCTGTAATTTTCTGATCCTGCCCTTTATTATATGGCATTTCCATCCTTGTAAGACGCAGTGAAAATGACGGTCGCGGAATTTAATTAATTCCCGTCTTTGTTAGGGTTTCCATTCAAAAGTTGTGACTCTTTTGTACTAATGTAATATGTGAACAAACTTATTAAGTTTCCATGATTATTTAAGTTTTGTCTTTATATTTACTTAGAACACAATATATTTATACCCTTTTCATTGCCCTCAGATGCTAAAACTCAGCGAACAAAAAAAATCAAGTTAATCTCAAGAGCTCATACATTACAGTTTGATTATGCATCTGTCATTTTATGTTATCAATATAAAAATACTTTTTAATACAAAAAATGAATGATGCATGTTATAATTAATAAGACATAGAGTAAAATTGGGGAATCTCTTTTTTTATTTTAAATTAATTTCAACGCCTTGAAATTCAGTTTTAAAAAGGATCTTTTTACTCTTTCAAGAAAGCAGAGAAATATTTAAATGCTGTACAATATTTAAGGGTAATGTCGATCAAGTGCATGAAAAGAAGAAATTCTTGTACAGATGATGCCATTTAATTATTTTTTAATTCTTGTTTTATGGCAATTAACACCAACATGAAAAACTTCACAGGACTACGTGGGTTTATTTCGCACCTCATTTCAGAAAAGGTAGCGGAGCAAATGATTGGATTTGAAATTTGTTCCAAAATTAAGATCAACACTGAACTAAGATTTTATAAGTAGGTATAATCAAATTCTTTGATTACTTTGTTTTGATTTGAAAGTGTTACTAATTCTACCAGAAGATCAACTAGGGCATTCCTGTTAAACGAGATGTCAAGAGTCAAAATGTTAGTAAATTTAAAGATTGTTGTCGGGTATTATTTCCGATTAAAGTGTTGCAGCATTGGTAATCTTGTAATATCTAGGCTTTTATAATGAAATATAATATGTTGCACTGAATGCACATTTAAATCAAGTCATTTTTAAAATGAGCATGATATTATCCTGTATGGAATTCAACAAAGATATAATTTCTGCAAAATTTAATGGTCTTGTATGTTATTTTCAACAAATTGAAATGTTAATTTTGAAAAATGTGAATATTTAACAAACATCCTTAAAACATGAGTACCTTTATTTAAACAACATGTCAACAGTACAGGAATCGTACAATTTAGCAAGAAGTTATTTTGAGGAATTCTTATTAAAAAACATTTTAAAAAATAAACAAACAAACAAACATGAATCAAGATTTGTTTTAAAAAATATATTTTTAACAAAATTACTATGTAATATTGAGACAAAAGATAAAACTTGTGTGAACCTTCAAATAAGTGAAAATTACTACGCAGCTGAGGCGGAGGAATTGGTTGTTGAATCAGAAAACAGGAAAAAGTACCTGGGGGTGTTTTAGATGTAACAAAGAAATGAAGTGCTTGTTCTGTTTTCTCACCAGCATCGAGATGTCTGAACAACCTGAATCTTCAGCTAGTCGGAGGAATTAGCATTAGGATTTCTCTTGCTGATACAAATTATTTCTATACGATAATGAAGCTAGTGTATGTGGCAATTTCAACACTTTTTTCAAGTAAAATTACTTGTATCTTATTTCAAGGGTAAAAAAAAAATATATTTGACATATAATGAGTTGGAAGGAAAGCTATAAAAGTAGACTGAATTGACAGTTTTTATACATACCTAAATATATTTTTTCAAATCTTCCTTTCCTAATTAAAGTTGGATAATGTTTGTTATCAGATATAGTTTGATAACAAACATTCTAGACGATTCAATATGAATTCCATTTACTATAACCTTAAAGTCTTCAAATTAGGTATACCAGTATATCTTCCAGTTATTTCGATACATGTACGCAAGAACATGCTCTACGTAAAAATTATTTCTAAAACGAGTTGTAATAAAAAAGTTAATGAAACAAAAATATCAACATTTCGTAAGTTCTCTGGTCTTTACAATGACCTTGTCAGTAAATACAATATATCTTAGAGTCAAATGCTAATTGGCGTTTTTAGACTTATTGTTAAGGCCATTATTTACATAACGAATTGCCGACAGATTTTTTCCGGGTATTTTCCAAACATCAGAAAAAAGTATATTAATGAATACTACTTTACTAGACCAAATATTCTTTATTTTTCTCAACTGGTGACAAAACAAGATGCTGTCACTTAAAAAACTATGTATGTTTATATTAAAAATATATGATTTAGTCTGTCCTCCATATTTTTTTCCTCACTTATTTCATTATAACGTGTTTTTTCCTCCCTTTTTCCATTTTTTTTTCATTCTTTTCTCTTCATTTTCTTTTTTTTTCT